GGCCTAGACCCTTTTTCTGAAGAAGGGTCTAGGCCCGAAACGTCAGCCTTCCTGCTCCTCCGATGCTGCTTGGCCTGCTGTGTTCATCCAGCTCTACACCTTGTTATCTCAGATTCTCGGGCATCTGCAGTTCCTACTATCTCTGAAACCTCTTATCTCCATTCAGTTCCTCCTGTCCTTGTGCATTATGTCTAGGACCTAAACTCGGCGTCAATCAACATTATTCCTCGATTTTTTTCCCCATTTCTCTTCCTCGCCATCATCCACAATTTTGACAACAGAACAGCACATGCCTGGGATTCAGTCTCAGTGGAAATTATTTCCTCCAGCAGAGGTGCGCCTCGGTTTTCAGTGAAATATTTGCTCTCAAAATTCTTTGTTGAACGCCTCTCCCCTCATTCCCCTGCTCCAGTGAATTTCCCCAACCTGTCCAGGCGATCTGTTGTGAGAGTGAAAATTATGTATGGAACTGATTCATGAATGGAGCACAAGGCGTGTCATTTACTGCTGACCAGATGCTTCTGAAAAGATTGAATTCGTCTGAAACCAGTGACTGCACACGGAGATAGGAGGCTCTTACGATTGAAAATTACAGCCCGACATACTTCAGGCTGCAGGGAGAACAGAAAATTCCTGACATGGTATAAACCTTAGGAGTTTAGAAAATAGGCATACAGGGCCATCTGGTTCCATATCCAAATATACGCTTTCCAACGCTGCAAAATAACAATGGATTTATATGCATCTCGAGAAACATGCACACATCCTGGTGAATTGAAACTGACTGACAACCTGTCTTAAGATCTAGATCGAGTGGCTCTTGAAGGAGCTTTTGGACCGTATTTTGCGATTGTAAGTTTCTCGGTGGCTATTCTTGGAGCTGGTGTATTTGGTTATAGTCTGGGTCTCTGTTGTTAGACTAAACTGTTAGGGATTGACTGTTACAGATAGTTAATAATCTCATCACACTGCTACCAGAATGGCAGCCATGTATTTTTGTTTGGTCAAAACAAGACTAAGGAAGTCTTGGAGCAGTTATACATTGGGGTTTTGTTGTGACACCACACTTGCGATAGGAAATCTTATTGGTTCTGGCTGCAATTCAGTACCTAAATTCTCCTCCTCGCAAGTCAAGTACATAAATGAATAAATAGCAAGTAGGAATAGTTGAATCTTTCATACACTTGGAATAAGTCACAGCCCCGTTTGAGGATTTTATGACTGTCTCCTAGAAGGGCTCTTTTATGGGAGGCCGTTTCAATCACTGTTTTATTGGGTGTGGTTTTAATTGCAGGTTTTATTTTCTGGGGACACCTAGGTTTATTTGGTGACCACCTGGCCATCTCTTGTTAATCTAAACTGGTAGAAATTGATTCCTGTGGTCACTCAACAACTTCATCATGCCCCTATGAATTTAAATTTAGGTGAAGTAAGATGACGGAAATCTGGTTACAGGTGTGTGTGTGTGTGTGTGTGGGTTTGGTGTCCGACACCACACCCGAGAAGTAAAAGAAAAATCACAATTTAAATTTCTCAAGGACTTAAATAGCTTTATAAATAGAGGGAGTCGCAGCAGTATTCCGGGTTCAAGTCTCACCTGTTCCAAAATTGTCATATCTATCCGACCAGCTGGATTAAAAATATTTACAATTTTTTTTTAGAAGTAGTTGGCAGTTAAACGAATAAATGGACAGCTAATAGGACGAGTTGGTTGATTTCTGCGTAAGTTTTAAATTAAGAATTATTCCTTTCTAGTTTTCCACTGTTTTAACATTTGGAAAGTTAGCCTTGTCTCAGGATTTTTGAGGGCCTTTTTCTTTTTGCGTGAATTTAATGGGTTTTAAAATTGATTACTCCCGTGAGGGAGCTGCTGTAATTTGAATTATTCATTTCTTCTTTCCCAATTGTCACTCTTGCAGTAAGCTATGAATGAGGATTTTAAAAAGCTGTTTTTTTTCTTGGGTGTGAATTTAACGTAAGTTTTCATTTTCTTGTTTATTGTTCTCGTGGGGAAAGAATGTTTTAAATTAAGGCTTGTTCCCTTCCCAATGCAGTCGTTATACAACGGCCATGAGGGTTTTAAGTAGTTCAAGAAGAGGTGTTTTTAGTTGCGTGGTTTTAATGGGAATGTTCGCTGGGGGAGATTTCTTCAATTAAAACTCATTTCTGTTACTTTTAGACGCGCTACAGCCCTATTTGTGAATGGTTTGAGTGGCTCTTAGAAGAGCCGTTTATTTTTTTTCCCTGGGTGGTTTTAGTAGGAGATACAATCCCAGTGAGGAAAGAGGACACGATCCTACTTGGAGCTAGTGTATTTGGTGACCGCTTTGGTGCCCTCGGACACGGCGTGTTTGGCAAGTTCCCCGGGCAGCAGCAGGCGGACGGCGCTCTGGATCTCCCGGGAGGACAGGGTCTGTCGCCGGGTGTAGTGAACCAAGCGGGAGGCCTCGGCGGCCAGGCGCTCGAAGATATCACCCACGAACGAGTTTATGACATTCATGGCCTTGGAGGAGATGCCGGTGTCTGGGTGGACCTGCTTCAACACTTTGTAGATGTAGAGGCTGTAGCTCTCCCGGCGGCGGTTCCGGCGGTGCCTCCGGTCGCCCGCTGCCCCCCGGCGAGACATCTTCATCGCTGTCTTCTTCGAGCCTTTCTTGGAGACGGCTCCCTTGGCGGCGCCGGCTGCCCCCACCGATGAGGAAGCGGAGACGGCGGCCGACGAAGTGGCTGAGGAGGAGGCGGCGGCGGACGATGAAGTGGAGGAGGTGGTGGTAGGCATGACGAACTCTGGCGGCTGCCTCCTCTCAGGAAACTCAGGCTCCTTCAAGCCAGGGCGAGAAGGACAGAAACGACGCCACCGGCGCGGGTCAACCCTGATATTCTCAGCTCCATGCAAATGAAGGATAGGAAATCCTCAATTCCCATTGAGTATCCTGTGTCCAATTCGCACAAATCACAGCCAAGGGACCGTGTTAGGGGCTGTAACTTTCCATGTGTAACAATTAAACCGGGGTCAGCGGTTGGATGGGAGAATCCGTGCTGAAGAGTCACTGGATGTTTTTCCTCATGGGAGCGACTAGGACCGGAGACAGTACCAATTTCAGACTGAGGTGAAGAGGAGTTTCTTCTTTCAGAGGGTTGTGAGTCCTTGGAACTCCTTGCCATAGAAAGCTGTGGGGGCAAAGTCCTCGTGTACATTTAAGGCTGAGACAGATTCTTGATCAGTCGGGGTTTTAAGGGAAAAGGTAGGAAAGTGGACACGAGGAATGTCGGATCAGCCATGATCTTGTTGAATGGCAGAGCAGGCTCGAGGGGCCGAATGGCCTGTACATATTTCTTATGGATCAGAAGCATTAACTCTATTTTCTCCTCACAGATGCTTCTAGACCTGCAGAGTTTCTCCAACAATTTCTGTTTTTGATGTTGTTGTTTTATTTTATTCTTAGCTCGTTGCCACATGTCCTCCAATGTGCTGATCTTGAAGACGTCCTGCTCGTCTCTTGGACAAGATGTTCATTCTAACGTTTCTTCTTGTCCACCATCACTTCCTTCATTTCCACTCCTGGTGTTCAACAAGGTATTCGCCTGAAATCTTGCTTCCACAGCCAAATCTCATTTCCTCAGTTCTGAAGAAGGGTCACTGGACCTGAAATGTTAAACTCCAGTTTTCTCTTCACGGATGCCACGATGGTGAGTTTCTTCAGAAATTTCTGTTTTAATTACAATGAGGAACTGGGAAGAAACAAGTTATCTTCATTTAAATTATCTTCATCTGCCTAAATCAGATCACTCATTCCACTTGCTTCCCATTTATTCATTAATTACTCCCCCCCCCCCCCAAATCCCCCGTTAAAAGAAGCAATCTTTACAGCCAGGAGCCTCAGCCACACCCAGGAGCAGGGGACACGATAACTCACTAGGATATTCTCAAACCCGTTTCTACGTGCAAACGGTTGGAAAGTTGAAAAATGCTGAATACTTCACTGCTGACATAATTCATTGCTTGATTTCAAACTCAAAATTGGAAAGGACCAGATGACATCATAATTCTGGAAATGATTTCCATGCACAATTATGGGATTCTGGGATATTTCTATGGCTGCTCTATTTCTGCAAAGTAGCGATTTAGGATTTACCAATTTCAGTTATGAATGTTGATTGGAGAAGTTAAGATTAGACTTCTTGGACAGAAGAAGTCTATGAGGAAATCTGACAGGGGCATTCAAAATCATGAAATGTTCAACAAAGAGAGGAAATGGATAATCTGTCTATACTCATAAAAGGATCAAGAAGCCCATTAGGGTCAAAAGAATAACCAGGAAAAGACTAAGGCGCCAGAGGGTCCAAAGTAGAAATTTGGGTGTAAACCAAGAGACAACCAGGGTTGTGCGTTAATACTTTGCATCTGAATTCACTATAGAGAAGGACAATGTAGCTCTAGAAATCAGGGACAGCATTCGTGATATACTTGAGCAAATTAACTCCGAGAGAGAAGTTTTAGCTTGAAAGTGGATTAACCCCAAGAACTAGTTGAAATGTATCTCAGGCTGCTGTGGGATCAAGAGAAGAGATTGCAGCGGCTCCGACATTAATCTTCAAATCCTCTCTGGCCACACAAGAGATGCCAAAGAACATGGACGACAGCTAATAAGAAATGTGATAGGGATTAGCCAGGAAGCTACAGGCCATTAAGTCTAACATCTGTGGTAGCGGAACTTGCAAAAAAAGAAACTGTCACTGAGTGACAGAATTAATCTCCACCCTGAAAGGCAAGGATTACTCAAGGGCAGCCAGCATGGCTTTGACAGGGAAGATCGTGTCTAACAAATTTTATTGATATTTTCAAGGACGGAAATGGTTGTGTAGATGACGATAGTATAGTTGATGGGATCCGGTAAGGCTTTTGACAAGATCTTGCATGGCAGACTGGTTAAGAAGCTAAGAACCCACGGGATTCAGGCAATTTGGTAAATTGAGTTCAAGATTAATTCCAAAAAACAGAAGGTGATAGTTGAAGGGTATTTTTGCGACTGGAGGCCTGTGTCCACTGGTGTACCATTGGACTTGGCGAGGGATCTTTTGCTGTTATTTGCATACGTTAAGAATCTAGACCTGACCAGAGGAGATATGAGCTGTAAATTCACAGATAAGATGAACATTTCTGGTGTAGTAAAAGCAAGGAGAGAAGCCTTAGGGTGCAGGACGACATAGAGAGTGAACAGGGGTAAATGGGATTAGAATTAGAAAAGTATTTGATGCTTAGTCCGGGCGCGATGGGCCGAAGGGCTTCTTTCCATGCTGTAGGAAAACTGACTAAATTGACTCATTCCTCTGAGGCTGTAGATTGAGAATAATTGAGAAAAGAAGCAAAGCCGACGGGAGGAACAAAAATAGTCACACAGTGAGCCTGGAGTGCTCTGCCTGAAAATGGTAAAGACACATTCAATCGCAGTTTTAAAAAGTGAGTTGGAATAGTGTGGTCGGAAATATCATTTACTTGAATGTGTGGGATAAAGGGGAGATTACCACTGAGTTGCTTATTCGGAGAACAAGCACAGGTATGATAGGCTGAACGGCCTCTTGTACACTGAACATATTCTATAATTCTCGTTGTATGTAACCCCAATTCACGTAGAAGTCACTTCCCTTCCTGGGGCCAATTATTAAAATGTTAATTCCGAATGTGGAGGAAATAAAAGGCCAAATTTACATTCTGCCCAGTCTTTGGAAATTTTGGGATGGCGTTGAACTATACAGGAGGTCCTAGACAACAGGCAAACAAAATCTTCGGTCCAATTCATCCATGTCAACCAGGTATCCTAAATTAATCTAGTTTCGTTTGCCAGCATTTGGCCCATATCCCTCTAAACTCTTCCCATTCATGTACCTATCTAAATGCCTTTTAAATGTTGTATTTGTACTAGCCTTCAACATTTACTCTGGGAGCTCATTCCAGATACGCAACGGCACATTTAATACACAGAATAAAATTAATTATTCGATAATTCTCTTTTTGAAGGTGTCGTTGGCTCTGAAAAGAGCCTTTTACGGTTGGTTTATTTTCATTCTCTATTTCCACAACTCCTTCAGTGTTTCCCTGCCACTGCCTCAGGGCCCTCGGAGCCGCTCTCTCCTCCCGTCTGTGGTTGAGCTTCCTGTCCTCCAGGCGGCGGCTCAGCGGCCGGCGACAGCTCCTTACCTGCTTTCCGAGGCGCCCGGATCCGACCGCCAGGTCTCCGGACCCCGGTTCCCTTGGCCGCCTTCCTCCTGCCGCCGGCAGTTCCGTCCTTTTTCCAGCTGCCTGGCGGTGGCTTCTTCCTGGTCGGGCTCCTCTTTCTGCCGCCTTTCCTGCTCCCGCCGCCGCTGACCGCCTTCCGCTGCCGACCGCGGGGTTTGGAATTAACGGCGGCGGC